CTTATTATTTATTTATTTAAGACTTCTTTTACTTATTGCTATTTTTACTGAAGGATCAATACTGTGGCTCCATATTCTATGTTTTTTTTCAGGGAGTTATTTGCACTCTTAAGCAGGGTTGATCAGTGGGACCTTAGAAACCATTGCCATTTTTTTCATAGAACTGATTCAGGTAAGAAAAATTAGATGCTACTGTTTGAATATCCATGTTCTTACCCAGAATTGCTATCTTGTTTGGGGGAACAGCACTCAATGATTGTGTAAGAAAACTTACACAAGCACAAGATACACTTAGAATAGTTGGTCTAGAATCACCCTCCTCGATAAAAGAGGAACTGTCAAGAAATGGTCAAAGCATCTTCTTTGTATAAGCCTCATGAAGAACTATTTCCTCCTTTCCAATGAATCTAATTTTGAGGTCAATTAGGTGTTTTTTGTGGTCCATTTACCACTCTGGAATATTGATGACCTCTATAGGATGGATGCTTTTGGTGGACAGAGCCTTCCTTGCTGCGTATTAGATGTACAATGTATCTTCAAAATACTTAATCAAGTGTTCCAATCTTTGGAGAAGTTTGTCTTCAAATGAATATCACATTGTTCAAAATAGTGGATATAGGAGATGAACAGAGTGATTTACATATACTAGTACTCAATAAATATTTGAAGGTTGAACTTGTAAAAACGAAGCAAAATTAATTTATATAAAAGTCAGGTAGCTGAACAAGTTATAAAAAAGGATGCTGCCTATGTACATTGTAAAAGTATATGATATCTCCTTGATGCCTTCTTAGTCCTCACTGAACCATTTATCTTCAGTATTATTTTTATAACAAAGTTTTGTTGATATCTAATATCTGTTTTGTCGGTTTTGTTCTTAACATTTTAGGGAATTTTAAAGTCCTTTGAAGATTTGATGAGCCTAAGTAGACTCTCTTCCCAGGAAAATACTTTTCTGAATATATTTGTCAAATTTTATTAATAAATACTGATAGAGGTTACTAACCCCTGGACTCTGGGGATCTATGTCCCACTGGTCAAGAATCCTTATTTACTATTGGTAAATTTTATATTATTTATGTTATTTCATCATCTTTAAAATTTCATATATTTTTAAGGTATTTTAAGGTAAGCTACACTACATAGCCTTTAACTTACACATTAAGAAGAGGTAGATTGTCTCCCCATTATATTTAAAGGTTATGAGTTAATAAGAAATAACACGTGTCTAGAACAAGGTAGATATATAAAATGGATTAAGCACTCATGCTCAAACCTTTTCCTGTGAAAAAGGAGAAAAAGACTGAACTCATGCTTTTCTATCAGATTATTCTCAAAGGCCAGAGTTTTAAATCAGTTGCCAACTATGGGACTGAAACTTACAGAAAGTAACTGATAGGTCATCTCATTTCCACAGTGACTTTGTTATTGCAGAAAAAAAAAATTGTGAGAGATGAAAAAGTATATTCCTTTACACACTTGTATTTTGCATTTTTATTTTTCAAATAGCACAACCTGAGCAAACATTTTTGACATGTTTCTTGAATTCATTAATCTTATGGAAACTAATAGTACACAAGTAGCCACATTTTCTTTGCACTTAGTTGTGCAAGGCACATTAGTTCTCATTATCCTTACTACCCTATGAGATTGGTATTATCCTTAATTTACTAATGAGAAAAGTGAGAGAAATTAGGTAACTTGTAGCTAGTAAATGATAGTATTGGAATTTAATCACATATTTACTTGAATTATACTGCTTTTCATAGAGAAAATCATATGTATGAAATCAGCATCTTCATGTTGTTTTTAACTACTTTTTATGAGTTTGCAGTTTCCTGGAGAGCAAGATGAACAGATGTGAACAAAGGTACATTCCGTGGCTGTATCTTTAAGTCTATGAATGTAGATGTGTTTAATGAATATTAAAACCCAGAAAAATAGAGGTGGTATTCTTATCCTGCTTGTCTAAAGGGCAGGTTTTCCTTTCAAGTTCAGTCTTCCTTACTGGGCCACTTTGTCCCAAAATGGTGCCGCATATATTTTCTTAAAATCAATAAATCCACAGTTGTATTAAGAAATATTTTATTAACAAAACAGTAAATTCCACTTGCTTAGCATTTCCAATAATGGATAAATTGGCCTTGCAACAGAAAAAAAACAAAACAAAACCCTTAGATACCCAATCACACAAAGCACTAGAAGGGTAGGGTCATGTGGTCTTTTTTTGATGTCTTGGGGATTGACCACCTCACACATTATTGTAGTATTTTTTTTTTTTAAAGGCAACACATTACATGGATAAAAAAGAAGCATACTCATTCAGAAAAGTTACAGTCTAGAGATGTAATTAAATTTATGCCAGGTAGTGTCAAATCCTGTTAACTGCAAACTATTCATGGAACCCTGATACATTTGGTATGAAGATACTTGGGATCCTATTCATGTCTTTTTTTTCTCTCTAGCTCATGTTCCTCTCTTTTCTTTCTCCATTCAAAAAGAAAGAAGAAAAAAAGAAAAAAAATTGCTAGATTTTGTGTAGGCCAATAACATTAGAAGTATTTTTACTGGCAATATTAGATTATATCATTGCATGAAATTTTAAAATTTATGCTGGAAAGAAACAATGAAATCAATCCCAAACAACATGCTTCATAGATATACTGCTTAAAAATACCATTATTTATTTTCATCATTTTTTAGAATCTTTCCAGATGGAAACTAGTCCGAGTTCAGTAGATCATATGGAAAAGCAACCATTTCTTTTTAAAACCTCAAGATGTAAATTAGTGGTTTCATATTTACCTTCTTATTTCACTGGCTTTCCCTGAGTAAGACTGAACGAGAGGAAAAAAAAAAAAAGACATGAATTCTTTAAGCTAGCAAATTAAAAAAAAGAAGAAAATCTGAAACACAAGTTATGGATACTAAATTTTAGTTTTAAACCTCTACTTTCTGGGTCATGAAAAGCCTTTAAGACTTTTCACACACCACAATTACTTGGCAACCATAGATAGTGGTGATTCGCGTGAATTATACTTATTTCTAAGGTGCTGTATGTCTGAAATCCAGGCCACTTCTTGGCTTTTTTCATCATCTTAAGTATCACAAAAGCTGTTTTGCATTTTTTGCCTTTGCTGATTAAAGCTAATTGTAAAGGTATTCTCTTTTATGAAATCTAATATCATTCTTTTAGGATGGGTTAAAGTAATGTGACCAATTTTCACTGAGGCATCATCTTCCAATCTAATAATGCATTTCCTTTGCATTGCCTGCTCATATTAATAATTTATTGCTATAAACATCATTGAAACAATATGCAAAAACAAGTGTATAATCTATACTTTTCTATTACTTAATGTGTATTAAACTAAAACTATATTTAATGATATATATGTAAACCAGAAAAGTTAAAATATGGACAATAATCAACAAATAATGATTTTTTTAGATGGATAGTAATACAGAGTCAAAATTACTGAAAATACTTTCTTAGTTGAGAAAATGTTTACTTTCCAAAGTGTTTATCATGCACATCAGGTTCAGGGATTTTAATTGCAGCAGCCAGGGTTAAGGTATAGATTAACCAATTTTGCTTCTGTAACCTCCCCCACATAATGGTTCATATTCATGCAGCAATATACCATTGATATTCTACTTGATAAGAAAATGTTCCATTTCATTAGGGACTAAAATATTCTCAGGGTTTCCTGGGAGCATGATCTCAATGAAGCAAATCACCCCATTTGTCATCAATACCTTGGCACAACTACCTTCCTTCCTGCTTTTCAATTTGTCAGTAAACATTTGCTGTTATATATATATGCTCGGGTTTTCCATCATATCTGATGGATTCCTCTGGATTGGTGTGTGTGTGTGTGTGTGTGTGTGTATGTGGGTGTGTGATTGTAAATGAAAGTATGTGGAAAATATGAATATTGGGGAGAGAAAAGAAGATCATAAGATACATATGTATATATTTTACCTTCTAATTCACATCTTTCATACAAATACTAAAACTTAATTGCAACAGAATGAAGGCTGTACATGTTAGGAAAAAAAAGTAGCTGAGTCAAAAACAACAACAACAAAAAAAATGGGGCGCCTGAGTGGCTCAGTCGTTAAGCGTCTGCCTTCGGCTCAGGTCATGATCCCAGGGTCCTGGGATCGAGCCCCGCATCGGGCTCCCTGCTCCGCGGGAAGCCTGCTTCTCCCTCTCCCACTCCCCCTGCTTGTGTTCCCTCTCTCGCTGTGTCTCTCTCTCTGTCAAATAAATAAATAAAATCTTAAAAAAAAAAAAAAAAAAGTAGCTGAGTCTTTTTATATACATTCATACATATCTTCCTTAGAATAAACACTACATTGTAATTTTTTTTTAAAAAAAGTAATTGTGGCAATTTATAATGGTGGCAAAAAAACAAAACAAAACAACCCTGAAATAATTGTTGCTCTGATGTCATAAAACTCCCTATACTTAGCAACACTTATAACATTGAATTTACCAAAAATGGCTGAAGAGCAGAGATATATTTTGCATTTTCTATACAACAGGCTATAAAACGTCACTTATCACAGTCCAGAAAGCACACAGAGATGGATTTTATATAAACATATGTAATAACATATTAAGCGTGCATGAAAATTTCCCAATGATTGCATCTATGCCCTCTTGGTTTTTTTTGTTTGTTTGTTTTGAAATTTTAGTGTGAAAATGTGCCTTATATTTCACATTGTTGAAAATAAGGCCTCCATACTTTTTTTTTCTTCCCTCACAACCAGAAAGGGGCTTTTTGAATGTGTTCCTACACAAGTCTTCAAAAAAGCCCGCACTTTGTTTTCAAATGCAAGTTCCAACCACCGCTCCAGTTGCACAGGTGGCAAACCCAAAGGTTTGCAGGTTGGGTCATTCAAAATGACACAGTCTTCTCTGGCACTCGGACTAACTGACTTCTCAGGAAAGCGCTAGCACTTTGGCTAAATCCAGGATCATAGGTAGCTTCTTTTTTTTTTTTTTTTTTTTGTGGTGTGTGTTGTGTTGTTTTTGTGTTGTGCCTTGATGTTGTAATACTCCTTTGCTTTATGAATGCGTGCGGTCATCGCTGTCTTTTAGGAATGTTCCAGCAACATAAAGACAGGCAGAGTAAATGAAAACACTGTGGATGTTAGGGAATTTATTGGCCCCTGTTTTGTTTTTTTCTTTCTTTTTTGGAGAAACAAGAGCATGAGATACTTGTTTTTATTTTTTAAAAACAGTCTTTCCTTCCTGATTGCATTCCCTGTCTTCTTTTGTATGTGCTTCGTAAAAAGGAAAGTAAATAAGTTTATATTATGTCTCAGATAAAATGAAGACTATTTCTATACAAGGGTCTTTTTAAGATCTTGGGATCAGACGTAATACTCTTTATCCTTGTTTTTCTTATTTTTGTTGGCGCTTTTCGCACTGCTGGGTTGTTTCTCCTTTACGACAGCCCCATTGGACTGTGCTGAGTTACTGATGTAGTTTCGACTCTCGTCCACATGGTATGAGCCTTCATCCCGGTTTCTGTACTTGTACATGGCATAGAGGAGGATGAGGATGCAGAGGGCAGCAGCAGCGACTATCCCCACCACCATGCCCGTGGTGCTGCTGGACTCCCGAATCACTTCCGCTGAGCCTGGGTATGGCTCTCTCCCGCCTGCTCGGGTTGGGTTAGCTGTAGGAAAGAGGGTGAGAAAAACAGAGCGTGATTACTGAGTTAACTGAACGCCCGAGAGCTATAGTAACATTCACCATCTATTTCCATGCCTAATGGCATAATACCTACTGCTTTAGGGAAAGTCTACTGCTGCTAAATGCAGCAATCCCTATGCCTCGTGGTCACTATAAACTAGGGACTATGAATCAAAGCACTTGGGGAGAGATTTGTTGCCATCTTTTCTTTATCACAGATCAGTTTTGTTAACAAGATTTTGTAAGTGCAGCTCCAAATAAGCTTCATGTAGCTCTTAAGGGCCATGTTGATGTGTCAGGTGAAAATTCATAAACCCAACATGGTAAATAAAATCATAATGACACTACCTTATAATGTCAGAGGGTATTAACTTAGCAATCAAATTGATGTTCACACAGAACACTTAGCGCTAGCTCTAGACTCTGAATTATGATAGCTAAATTTAGTATTACTTTAGAAATCATATTGCCTCATACGGTAATAGATATAGTACTGAACAACAGGATAATCCAGGCATTTTGAATAGACTTCTCATGCTTGTTTGTAAAAGCGTGATTTTAGTTTCATCTTTACAAACTAAAACAAAACTAAATCCTTTTCTTTCGGAGGTTTATTTATTCATATAAGTGTATATGTATCACTCATTCATTAGCAGTGGTTGAGTGACCACCAAAACTAAATTTGGGAGGGTGAAGTAGGAAAATATTTTTTCTCAATTTTACAGACTATCTAAATCAGGTATGGGTCAAAATTCAGTACTTAACAGATAATAATGAATAAAGGACTCATTAGCCTACTTTTCTTCAACTGGCAAAATTATCCTTCAGTCTTTCCAAAGTATGAAGAACGCTCTTCCATGGATACAAGAAATGGATTAGAGGGTTCACTAATGTCTTCTCCAGAGCATAGTCAGGCACTGAAATTGATGACAGACGGAGAGGAAAAAGTCCTGGGATTTAATTCGTGAATGGGGGTTGCAGGGTGGGAAGCAGCTCTTTTTCTCTACACAATACAATTTTTTTTTGAAAAATTTTTAAAGAATAGGAACTGTACAGAGATAAAAATCTATCCTATCTCTGACCCTCAGTTCATTTTTCTCTGTGGGTTGTGTTTTCTTTCTCTGAATCTCTGTCCTCTCCTTTGTCTTACAGAAAAAGGTTACTTTTCAGATGTAGTGAATTAAAAATGCTGTAATTTTCAAAATACTATTTTTTGTAAATTATGCAGAATGAATTAAAAGAATCTCAAGGTTGTACATTTATATCAGATATATGGGTATGTGTATATAAATGGGGTGTGTGTTTATATAGACATTGAACAGTTCAAGAAGACTGAAATTGGCTTTTTACTACTATTAAACATCATTTAGTAGCTTTTTTTAATATTTCTACAAAAGTTCCTATTAAATACTGGTAGTCATTTACCTGCTTTGTCATCCCATTCTCAAACATCACCAAGATTTCTTCTGCATCATGGCGGGGGTCTCTTGCCGTCATTTTCCTTTCCTTCCCCAAATAAAGCCTTACACATACAGTCACTGACAAAATAAGAGCTCTCAGCAGTATGCTGTGTTCTGGAGCCGCAAAATGTATCAGGTGAAACCTTTCTATGCTGAATATGTCACTGCTGATTTTACAAAAGCCCATGTAATGTTGCTGAATAAAAAGCCTTGTTGTTGCTTCTGTGGCCAAGGTGGAAGGAGACAAAGACTATAATCCACAGCATTTGATTTCAGGAAATTAATTTCCTCTCAAGAAGAAGAGAACCTACTGCAGGAAGTCTGTCATCTACCTCACAAACAAAAGGCAACACCTGTTCTTCCAAACACAGCCATCTTTGCCCGTCTGCCTATTAGCTCAGCTGCGAACTTGCCCTGAAGGACAACTTGTTACTTGCTCATTTGTGGATCATTCTTTTAACATCGTGTCTTACCCACTACAGAAAGGATTTCATTTAAACGTTACCTAAATCCTTGCCCCCACCCTGATGGAATGCTTTTATTTTAACATATTTTTCATAATGCTCTCACTTTGTCTGTCAGAGAAGAATAGGGAGAATGGATATAAAATTCTAGTCATATAGTTCACGCTATGAAGACTTGAGAGTTTTAATGAAATGCAGGGTTGAAATGTTCTATACTAAGTATATATGTTCATTTTTTTCTAGTTATGAATTGATATCATAAATGGACTATTTTATCCAAGAGTTTTAAACTTATTTTTATCTGCTGAAATATTTCTGATATATTTTCACAACAACTGTGTTTAGTAACACAGAAACAACAAGTTGATGTTAAAACTAGAATGAGATTCAAAGACCAAAGCAAAGCCTCAAGCGCTTCAATTTTGCCATATAGGCATTTGATAAACAACTCCTATTTAAGGAAAATACTCGCCTTTTTTGCAACTCCAGCCAAAATGTTGCTTAAGTCACATGCAGGCCTAAAAATATCTCTGTAACCCATATGTAAATAAAGAGTCTACATATCATTTTTTAAAAATAACCGACCAAAAAATGCCAAAACCCAATGATGAAACACTATCCTTTTCCCCCTGATTCACATTTAAAAATTAATAACCACCACAGGTATTATTATAGGTCTGTTTGCAATATGCAGTTGCTTCCTTATCTCACTGATTATTTAATAATTTTTTTCTGTTTTGCTTCAAATCTGAAGGATAAGTGACATTTTTCTTAACTTTTGTGCTAAAATCGAAAGTATTTATACACTAAAGACATCTCTCCCAGATGTGCAATAAAAGGCTAGAGAAATCTGGGGCGCCTGGGTGGCTCAGTCGGTTAACCTTTTGGCTCTTGGTTTCTGCTCAGGTCATGATCTCAGGGTACTGGGATCCAGCCCCATGTTGGGCTCAATGCTCAGCACAGAGTCTGCTTGTCCCTCTCCCTCTCTCTCTCTGTTCCTACCCCCCGCCCCGACTTTCTCTCTCAAATAATTAATAATAAATAAAATCTTTTTCAAAAAAAGGCTAGAGAAATTTAAATATATTTATAAACTAAAATATGGCTTTACTTACTGTTATTAATGGTTTATTTTGATGATTGCTGGAAAACCTCTGAGGAAATTTCATATTAATTTAAATGTAGAGAATAGTAGAAATGGCTAAAAAGCCTAAATGCCTTCTTATATAATTTGGTGAAAATTTTATATCAAAAAAGAAACACAGTCATCTCTTAACCCTTTATAACAATGAGAAAAAAGGAATTTGATCAGAGAGATCCATAAGCAACTCTTTTATTTCATGCATTTGAGAATTTTGCATTCCTATTACACTCCATAATACACTAAATCAAGACATTTTAAATAAATACGACAATCTATATGTGCTTTCTCAGCAGTGATAAAAAACAAACAAATGAACTCTGGTTTACTTTCACTCTATCTACCTTTCTCTGTCCCAGCATGTGATGAGAATACTTTCAAAACAGGTAAAAGAGAGTCAAAAAGAGAACTAAGAGTATGGAATACATACAAATGAGCGGTAAGTCCGTGAATGGTCTGAAGTTAATGGACCTTTAGGTGAAACTAAGCTAACTGGACCAGAGGCACAAAGAGCCCAGGTCAATGGGAAACTTGAGGAGGACCGGAGATGGGTACTGAATAAACCAGAGCACCCAAGGATCCTTTCTCCTGACTGAAAACAGGCAAGTAAGCATCCAACTGTGGTGGTGGCACATATATTTTGATTTGAGGGTTAGGTCGCGAGCCAAAAAACAAGAAGAAGAAAAAGAAAAAAGGAAAAGAGTAGATGAAATATCCTAAGTGCCCACTTATATCCTATTTCAATATCATAAAGCAGGAAAGCATCGTGAATTATATACAATTTATGTGAACACTAAAACAACAGATGATTTTCCTCCTGTGTCATTCATGCACATCATCACATACCCTCAGAGTCACCTGGAATGGAGTGTAAACTACGAAGTCTACTAAACCTGTGGGGAAAGCACGTACGCACACCTGAAGGGCAATATGAAGGCTTTTGATTTCTGCTGGCATTTTTCCTAAATGATCCAGAAGCTACTGACTACAGCAGCAAGGACAAAGAGCTGTCAAAAGGGTTATAACCTCTTCCATAGAAGCTACTTTTCAGTTAAATGGCTATGAAAGTATTCCTCGGACCCACAGATGGGTAAATAGTGTTATCTTAGAGAACAGATAAAAAGTGATGTTCAATTCTCTCTCTGTCTCTGTCAAACATTTGGTAAGATCTGATGGTCTCTCTTAGAAGCCTTCTACATAGTCTAATTTGGTCCAGATTCATCAAGAATCCTGTATGTCAGCGCTATGTATTTTCTTGTTTTTCACTGATTAATACTGTGATTATTTAGGTAGGCACAGTCTTTCAAGTATTAGGACACTTATTAGCATAGTTACACACTATACCCTAAACCAATTCATTCATATTGTGGAAAATGCACAGTTAGCACAAAAGACACATTCCAGTGCCTTGTCATATAAAAAGAATAAAAAGTGCATTTGTTGCTTTCACAAAAAATTTAAAAATGAAACATTTAAAATTTTAACTTATCCGTAAGTCTGCTGCGATAGTTATTTTAAACTACCACGACAGGAAAAGAAATTGTCCTGATGTATGTTCTTTCTTTATTTTTGACAGCCTTTGGCACTGCATCTGTGAGACGACATCATTTCCCCAAATAAGAACTCATTTAGATCCAGTTAAAAAACACCATGGAATAAACATGCTTAAGTGATATATTAGGCTATGGCAGAGAACAGAAAAGCGAAGACTGTTTGTAGCAGGTCTCAGTCCTCCCCAGCTCCTCTGGCCCTCTGCCACCAACCCCATGCTCCTCTCTGCTCTTTCTTCTACTTCCTCCCCTTTCTCCCCTCTCCACCTCTTCTGTGCAGCCCTCTCCCAGCTCATGACTTGTCAAAACTTATTGCCAAGTTCCTAATTTCAAATCACAATACAAAATAGTCTTTACTGGCAAAAAAAAACAAAAACTTTAAATGTGATTGTTTCATAAAGAACATAGTCTTTGTGTTTCATATTGGAAGGGTTTACTTTACCATTTAACCTTCTAAATTTGTTTACAGAATAAAATTATATGCTTTATCAAAATAAATGTTCTTTTATTACCAATTTTAACAACTTTTGTTAGGCAGATAGGGACATGCGGAGTACATTAAGTCATTAAGCTGTGCGCTGGAGCCTATATTTATCAGTTTGCCACTGTCTGATTGTATCTAGTCATAACCTTTGTTTAGGCAAATGGGGAATATAAAGCCCACATTTACTAAGCAAGATGATTCATAACTGAAGTTCTAAAATAACTATGCATTTTGGAAGGTAAATTTTTGAACATTAGCCAGTTTTTCTAAAGAGGCTTCACCTTGCAATGGAAACTGTCTGGCATCCTTTGGTTATTCTTTCCGAGTCCGGGAAAACAGCAATCAGATACTGTTATGAAAAAAATAAAACTGCTCTTATGTTTTTACAATACTTCACGAGAAATGATGCTTAAAGCCCTAATCCCTTTCACATAAAATGAGGGTTTGGTGGGTGGTGGGACCTCATATTTCCATTGGTGAGTTCACCAAGGCAATAACCATGCCATCAGATGTTCTTTTTATCACTCAAATTGTCATTTTTATGAAACTATTTTGTATACTTGGATGAGCTGTTCTTTCACTGTAATCTTATTACATTGATGTTGTTTCCAAACTTAGCTTTGGAGGGTAAGATTACAGTTTCCAGGCAATTCTTATTGTTGGTTTTATTTCTTCAATATAGACGGTTTGTGTGTAGGTACGTCATCAACCATGACCCTGTCACATCAAGGATGAAGCAAGAGTTTTACTATATACTGATGACAATGAAAATTCAGCTTTTGAGTTTTAAGGAAAAAAATATAAGAGACTGCCAATTTTAAGAAATAGTAAGGAATAAAACACACCAATGTAAACACACACACACACACACACACACACACACAAAACCAGAATATGAGCTATTTATTTCGGATCAGGAGGGGTATATAAAGGATTATAAAAACTCCATAATGCTCAACATATATCATCCTGCTACCTGGAATCGTTAGATATCCTGTCTTACAATAATCCTTTTTAAAAAATTATTGGCAAGATACATTTATTGAATTTTTTTCTAAGAGTCTTTGACCAGTCTTTCTGGTTTTATCATAAATTAAAGTAAAAGCAATCAATTTTAAATTTCTGTCTCCACCCCACGTAGGAAAAAGCTGCCTAAAATGATCTCATTAGAACAGAGCACTGTACTGTGTTTTAATAGATGTGGAAATTATTATAATTCTAGGCTAGTCTTGAAGATGGTTTCAGATTTATGGGAGAAGATTTGAATTTTCCAGTACCCAGTTTCATTAATACTGCGAAAAGCAAATTGGAATTGTAGGCTCCTAGGGTGTTTGTAAATTGAGATTAGCACAGTTTTGTCCCCCATCTCCAGAAAAATAAAGTTTATTATTGTTTCCACTTCTGTGCTTCAATATAACCTGGGTCAGAAGAAACAATTATGATGCAATCACTCAAAAGAATGCATGTTTAAATGCCACAGCTGCAAGAAAGCAGGTAGGCAAAGATTTGTATGCATGCTCTAATTTCAACTCACATTGTAGTTTTTTGAAAGGTGATGATGAATGCTGGATGTCTCAAATTCCTCCCATCTTCCCTTCCCATCAACTCCACCCAGGCCTTGCATATTCAGAAGTTTGCTCATGCAGGTCAGACAAAAGGCTTGTGGGAGGACATGTCTGACACATCTTAGCCCTTCTAATAAAATGGAGATTCAGAAAGAACTTGGAAATCAATAAGCCTTTGCCACCTGTGTGGCTGCTTGGTCTAACATTTTCCTCTTTCAAAGCCACAAAGGCACCTGTGTGAAGGGAAGTACAGAGGACACCGCTGGGGGATTGAGGGATTATCTTCACCAGAGATCTCAGTACTGCATGGGAAGGGATGCTAGCCTCAGAAAAACTCATCCTGTGCCTGGAGGACAGAAAGCACCAACTAGGACAAGCTACTACCCCAAATGGCACCACATGGGACAAAAAAGCAATGACAATCATACCCTGTATGACTTTGGTCACAATGAAAACTAAGAGAGGAACACACACATTCTCCCTCATCTCTGGGGGAAGCCAGAGGATCATGGCATTTATAGAAGCCCATTCTCAATCACCTTATACTTTGTAAACTGTGTGTCTATAGCTTAGTCATCCGCAGGCTTCTTCCCCTAAACTTTAACATGGTCATTGTGCCCATAAGGTTTTATTAGAACCCTTGAAAGTATCAAGGTATCAAACCCTCAAGTATCAATGTGACTACCATCCTCATGGCCCTTCATGGTCTGCCCACAGCTACCTACTCAAACTTGTCTTCACTTTCTCTCAAAGGAATTTGCAGTCATAATTTTATTGCCATCCTCAGTTTCCACATGTCAATAAAATTCTACCTACATGCCTGGCTCATATGATATTTTCATTGTGCCTGGCTCAATACTACTTATTCCTCAAAATTAGCTTACTGCTCCATCTTCTGTGAAGTTTACTGAGAATATGCACTCCTTCTGTCAACTAACACATAGTGAACCAGAGTTATGTTCCAAGGACTGTACTAGGTCCTCGGGTAGAGTGGATAACCGTACACACTTGACACTGCCTTCATGGACCTTGAATATTCCAACCGAGAATCATACAGTTAAACTTAAAGCCGCAGCTGGAACATGTGTGACGAAAGAAAATGGTAGCTACCATGCAGGAGTAGAACAAGGGTTTCTGATTTAGACTAGACAGTCAGAAAGACCTGACTTGGTGACATTTATGCTGACACATGGAAAAGGTTTGGAGACTAGTCAAGTGAAAAGTGGGCAGAAAAGCCTTGCAGTCAGAAGGAATAGGAGAAATGACCTCGTGGAAAGAAAGAGCTTGTTTTTCAGAAACTCAACAAAAAACCAGAGTGGCTGTAGCATAGTGAATGTTGGGGGAGAGCGAGAAGAAATTTGAAGATGGATATACAACTTAACATATGGGTTATAGGCCATGCAATGAAGCCATATGTGATGAGATCAGCATATCTGATGTCATAAAAAGTAAGAATCTTATGGGGAAAAAGATGTCACTAACCAAGTGAAAATGCAAATGAAAAGGAGAGGAAAAATGTTTGTAGCATATATAACAGACCAAGAGTTTATACCTCTAAAATACAAAGAGCATGTATCAAGTGATATGAAAAAGACCAAACAATCCATACAAGAATGGACAAAAATACACACAAGCAAGTGGAGAATAGAAGATCCAAATGCGTGATTAAATGTAGGACAAGATCCTCGATTTCACTAGAATGGAAGTCAAAATAAAATAAGGAAGTTTTTTTTTTTCCCAACAAAATTAGAGGAATAAAAAAGAAAGAAATAGTGATAATGTGGTAAACATATTTATTTGGGAAATGGGCAGTTTTGCTGGTGAGAATATGAATTCTTCAATCATTTTTAGGAAGTAATCTAATAATACCTTTTAAAATTTTAAAAAGATTAAATTGCAGGTGGATGATGGATACATGTGAGTTCATTATACCATTCCCTCTAACTTATTACATGCTTGAAATTTACAATGATAAAAGTTAAAAAAAATACACATATATTTTAAGCAACCTCAGTTTGGGGAATATAGTCTACATAATTAAATATGCCAGCATAGAAATATATAAATACAGGATGTTTGCTATAATGTTATGAGAAGAAAAGAAAAAAGTGTAAAAACTTAAGAGTTTACAAGGCTATGGTTGAATAAATTCCAGCACACCCATAGTCTGGAATTTTAATAGAGTTGAAAATAGGAGTTAGAGTCAAATTTGTTGATCTGAAATATGTCCATAATATATTAGTAAAGGAGAAAAGCTAGTTTAATTCATACAGTATGTTTCTATAAGGCAAGAAAGAAAAACAGCCCTATATTTATATGTTTTTAATAGGAACATGGTGAAAGATATATGAAAGATTCATGTCAAGTTTTTACCATTGGTTAATGT